ATATTTACAGCCGAATCAAAGGCCATTTTAACTGCCCTCAGATATATCAAACAGTCTAAACATAAGGACTTTATTATTTTTTCGGACTCGCTGTCTTGTCTTCAAGCAATTAAAAACAATTCGTGTCAGCATCCTGTTTTACTTGACATAATAGAACTACATAATAATCTTGCTACTGGCCAATGCGACATCGTCTTTTGTTGGTTACCCAGCCATGTTGGAATCACTGGTAATACAGTGGCTGACTCTGCTGCAAAGTCTGCTCTCAACAAATCTGTGACACCACTTCAAATACCTTATAGTGATTATAAACCAGTTATAAGAAGTTACATCCGGGATCTTATGCAGAAGAAGTGGGACACCCAAGTAGGTATCAATAAATTACATGCAATAAAACCCTACATTGGTTACACCTACTTGGGTTGTCGGTCCAGATTTGAAGAGGTCATTATGCGACGATGTCGCATTGGCCACACTAGATATACTCACGAATATTTACTTAAAGGTGAGGATCCTCCGTTTTGCATCCCTTGTGATGAAAAGAATCACAGTCAAGCATGTCTTGCTTGACTGTGTTGAATATTCCATCACAAGGGATAAGTATTTAATATCAAAACATTGAAGGATCTTTTACTACTGTTAGTTCTCGTTTAGTTATTGCCTTTTTAAAAAATTAGTTTGTTAAGTGATTTGTAAATAGATATATATTTTATCATTGGTAGTTTGAATTAGTAACTGAGATTGTTAGTGGCTGTACCCTCAAAGGGGGTTGAAGTAGTGTAAAATTATTGTCCTCCTGAGAGGGTACGTAAGTCCCAAAACTTTCAAAGTAGAATTTTCACATACCAAGTTTTTAAACGTAGTATTTTTGTTCATTTAGATTTCGGCTAAATTATCCTACAATCACCAGCGGCTGAAGGGATGGTGTAAATCCAACTAGGGTCCATGCAGGTAGCAAAGGTACTGTAAGTCCCCATGGACCCTAGCATGGTGACCTGCTTTCAGTTGTTGGTGATCTATAGCCCATTTTTATATTGTGTTGTCCCCTGTGGTTAAACTGTTTTAGACTCTATTACTAGTTTTATCTGTATATGTGATATTCTAGTTGTTTTACTGCCCTTCGTTGGCAGGTTTTTATACTATTCATAAATTTCATTTCAATATCAAATGTTCTCGTCACGATATGGCTGAAATATTGCCGATGTGACGTTAAATGTTAACTCACTCACTCACTCAAAGCCAGGGCCACTGGGATGGTTGTACCTGGAGGTCCTCGCAGGTAGACCCTGGGTGGAAACTTTGACACCCAGGGGCCAGTCAATCGGGGATGCTGGGTCAATAAACAAAAAAAAAAAACAAAAAAAACCTACCCAACCACGTCGTCAAGGGAAGCCAAAATTATATCTCTATAATATTATTATTGACTAGCCATTGTTACATGTATTCCGTCTAGTTCCTTTATTTCGATTTGTTAGATGTGGAAGAGTTGTATTTGAACCATATTGATAATAATAATTTTTGCTTGATGTTGTACCTTATGTATGTATTTGTGTCGTTGCGGTTAATCAACCCCATGGTCACAACAAGAAGAAGGAAAATACGAAATTAAAAGATATCAGAAACAAGTAGCTTGGGTCTCGACGTCACAGTCCTATAGAGTGTGGGGACACACTCTTCGTTGGAAGGGGGGTCGTATTATAGGCATGAGATTATGGTCTTTATTACAATAAGAGATATACAATTAACATTATTAATGACAGGGGATTAAGGGGGCAGAAGATACAAATTGGGAGAGTTTAGATATTTAAGATATGAAGTGAGTGGTAACGTTGTAAGGTGGGTAAGGTAGAAAGTCAGTAATGTAGGTAATGAACATGAAAGTAGGTCGCTGGAGCTGGTGAGTGCATGGGGGGGAGTGACTCATAGCTTAGATAGAGGAAAAAGCAACTATACTCCAGATGGAGCGACGTGGCCGGGGACCTGGCCGGGGACCTGGCCACCAGTTCCTAGTATTCTACGAGCCATATATGGTTAGGGGAGAGAGACCCTGAGTTTCCTGGAATCCTCCTCACGGTCGTACAAAAATGGTAGTGGAGGTACGAAATAGAGTTGGGGGGAGAGTAATAGATAGTCAGATTATGGGTTATTGACCAATAGGAAAAAAAGGAAAGGGTGTTGGCTGTGACGTAGGAACCCAAGTTTAAGCGGGAGCAAAGATCAGAAACGGCAGTCTGGTGCGGGCCTGCTCTTGCTGTTGGTCACTAGGAACCGTTTGAGAAATTATCTTGAAGCGCCAGCATTTTGGCTTAAGACTGAAGCTTCGCGGCTGAAGTCTTATAGAGTGACTTCATAAGTAGAGTTGACCAGCAACACAGTGACAATAAAAACTATTGAACGGAGATCATCGTCTTGTGTTTGCTGGATGGACTACAGTTAAAGTTCCAAGGGCCCCAGGTACTGACACTGTACCTCTCGCTCATCCCTTATCGTCAGGACCGAAGTACGGGGTATACCATAGTCCAGGTAATTCGACACACACACCATCCCAGGTACGCGATACCGACAGGGTAAATACCATCTACCTGCCAGGTAAAGGTGCTAGTCGGAACGCCTTGGAAAGGTGGCTGGAGACGCGGGGTAAGTTCCCTGTAGCGAGTGGTTGAGAGGCTGAAAGTGCTGTGCAGCGGTTGCAAGCACGGAAAATTGCGATTGAATTAGCAGAGCGACGTTTGGCTGCTTAATAATTTGAGAGGTTGAAAGTGCAGCCGATGCACGCAAGGCCATTGGCATGAGCAGAGAGACGTTTGGCTGCTTAATAATTTGAGAGGTTGAAAGTGCAGCCGATGCACGCAAGGCCATTGGCATGAGCAGAGAGACGTTTGGCTGCTTAAAGTACTGAGAAGCTGAAAGTGCTGTGCAGGGGTTGCAAGCACTGAAAATTTTTAATAAGCAGAGTGACGTTTGGCTGCTTAAGATATTGAGTGGCTGAAAGTGCAGTGTAGCGAGGGCACGCACGGCAATTTGAACGGAGATCATCGTCTTGTGTTTGCTGGATGGACTACGGTAAAGTTCCAAGGGCCCCCGGGTACTGACACTGTACCTCTCGCTCATCCCTTATCGTCAGGACCGAAGTACGGGGGTATACCGTAGTCCAGGTAATTCGACACACCATCCCAGGAACGGGATACCGACAGGTAAAATACCATCTACCTGCCAGGTAAAGGTGCTAGTCGGAACGCCTTGGAAACATTATCCTAAAAAACAGTATATTATTTGATGAATAAAGTAGTCAATGTTTTCACGTGTTAAACCGTTATTTCACAAAAGCTAGTTATGTCAGGCATCCACATCCATCAACGTCTAATGTGTCAAGGGAGATAAGTTGAACCGTCTTTCCAGCTCATTGATCTACTCTTCTCTTGCAGAATTATATGTACTGTAATACGTGAAGAAATAACATGAAAGAAAATAGAAGTGGTTTTGCAAACTTGTCAATAGCTACTCGCTGCCACTTCTAGACTTCCAAAGAGGCTGATAGGTATCGCCATGCATTTACAGTGACATACCATTTTCAAGTTTGGTGAAATAAAAGGTAAATCGGTTGGATGTTTAACGCCGCCGCACCCAGCAATATTCCAGCTATATGGCGGTGGTCTGTAAATAATCGACTCTGGACCAGAAAATCCAGTGATCAAAAGGCATGAACATCCATATGCTCAGTTTGGATACGATGACATGTGTCAGCCAGGTCAGCGAGCCGTAGTGGCTGTTTACTACATGCAATGATTGCTGAAGACCAATTATATCTTGGTTCTCCACGGGTATGAAATACAAGGTGACGTACCTCATACCTGACTAATCTACCTTTCCACATTAAAGAGTAGTTGTATCAAACATATCAGAAGAATTTGAATTTTGAGCCAGGATTCGAACCAAGGTTTCGGGAACGTCAGAGCGACGCAGTTCTACACAGCAGACAATACCAAGAAGCATGGGTTACTGGAGACCCAATTCTGACCAGGATCTTCACGGGTCACAGACGAGTGAGCTGTGCCACACCTTGTACATATGCTGGTGATGCCATTCTTTTGAGCAACAGGCATTGCCTCCTTTCAACCACACCTGACAGACCAGTGGGACTAGACTGACGTTTGGCCATGTGATCTGTTTAATGTCGACCTTCATAGTGTCACTGAAAGTAGAAATACGTTCAACAAGATAGTATTGCAAAAGACAGGACAACGAGCCCGGCAGTTGATCATAAGTGGTGGAGATGTCCACCTTGTTAGACCTTGTTTGTGGAATTGTGGTGATAAGTGAATCGTACAAAGATCGTCTTAACAGAATAAATTCATGTTGGAAATATATACATAATTGCGACTGGGAACTAACTTTGAAACACTCACGTCACGCCGAAGACCTGGGATCGATTCCCCACATGGGTACAATATGTGAAGCCCATTTCTGGTGTCTCCAGTCGTGATATTGCTGAAATATTGCTCAAACTCTCCTCGAGACCGTCGTAACGTCAACACATCAGAGGTTAAATAATCCTGAATAAAGAAAGAATATACAGGCTTTCATCTTAAGCAACTGTTAAACAGACATAGGTTTAATAAGAGCATAACTGATATAGTACGACAGCAATATTATTACAAGCTGCTCAGTTGATGAAAGAAATAGTTTAAAAGCTAATGAAGGTGGCTTACATAGATAATATTCACCTGTATATTTAGTACGCAAATCTTCATAAAAAAGATATACAAGTAAATTATGAATTTCATTTTCCACATCTAGATTACACAGGAGATACTTTATCTTTCATCTTTGGTATACCATTATGCTGATCAAGCCTAACCTAAGACGTATAAATAGATGTGTTAATTTCTTTGATGTTAAAACGTTAAAAAATTCTCTGCATGAGTAATGCTTTGTATATTCTATAAGAGTCATGCCGTGAACTATTATCTATTACTGAATGCCATCAGTATCAGGGTACCATGGCATCCGAGCCCAGCCACCATTTCGGGGACACAGCCGTCAACTGCGACAGAATCGTCGACCTTGGACTTGAGGCGGCAGCAACGTTACATTAGGATGCGTTATGTGTGTTAACTTGGCAACATGAGAGTACTGGTGCTGGTAAGTCAAAAATATTTACCACCCCATCGGTTTGGTTTGTTGTGAGTTGTTTTTTGTTGTTGTTTATTAATTTCGGGGGTGTGGGGGGATGTGTTTGTAAATAAAAAGCACCAATTTTGTTCTTTGTTTTGTACGTCTGTCTTTTTTCTATGAGACAGTAGGGGAGGTTGGGTAGCTATGGGTTAAAGCGTTCGCTCGTCATGCTGAGGACCTGGGTTCTATTCCCCACATGGGTATAATATGTGAAACCCATTCCTGGTGTTCCCCGCCTTCCCGGCCAGTGATATTACTGGAATATTGCTAAAAGTGGTGTAAAGCTAAAGACAATTACTATGAGAAAAAAAATCAGCATTTCACCTGTTGTTTTCTCAGTGAAAGTGAGATGGCACGATCTTTCCTTGTCTCCGAATGCTCACTGGCATATTGATCTGGCATTTCTACTGCTCCGTGATAACGTAGTGTGTCACATGACACAGGATAGGAGGCGTGTATGTAAATTACAATCTGCAGTTGAGCATTCTGCCTCAGCTGTGTATGGTCGAGGTAGCCTGTGATCCTTCGTAGAGTTTTGAAGATGATTTCATCATGTTCCATGGGCCTCCGGAATTTTATCCTGCTCTCTGCAGTTGTTCACACTGTTTATGGACTTTCAAAGTCCATCACGAAACAATGTGATAGTCAGACGGCAGAGAGAAGGATAGTTCTGTGTCCATCAAGAACATTGGCATCAGGCTGTGTGAAGTAAAATGTAGAGAAACTGGCGGCTGTTTACGATTTGAATACAATTACGAAACGCTAACTTGTAGTCTCCGACTTGGTGAATCGCAACGATTTGAGGAGGATGCAGGATTCTCTGTTCTGGAGAAGAAACATTCGGACGTAAGTTGAATAGTTTAGTCCTATCTAACAGTCAAAGAAACATTCGTAACTCAAGAAAATATTTCTCTCTTGGTATATAAACAACATCAGGTAAATACAATCTTTCTTCGCACAGTCTGCGATCCATATAAGATATAAGAAATATATAAGAAGTAATTTCTGAAATAATTTCACTTTTACCTTCAAGGATACAGCACACTCGGTAGTCTCACCAATTTCTTAAATAAACGTTATTACACCAAGGGGTTAGACCAATGGTTAGACCAATGGGTCAATGAAACTCCAATTACATATCAAAATGTAAGTGAAGTCAACTGAATAGTAAGGGCAATCAATATCGACACACGATATTATATAAAAAAGCACAAAAATACAAAACAAGTTGTTTTGCCCACAGGCTAATTTATTTGTGTATAGAAATGAACTTGGAATGGAACAGAACTTTCAGCGTAAAGAGCCAAAGACTTGGCCACTCATTTACCAATACAGAAACTGCATATAGAAAGATATTTGTAACTGAAAATTAATGCATACTTTTATTAAAAATGTCAAATCAATCTTACTAAAGTGAGTAAATGGGTGAAGTGGATAAAACGCCCCTTCTGACAACAACATTTTTCTACAAATGATATCGCCTCTGGACACCTGCATTGGGCGATAGGTCCACGTATTCACACAGGCGGTTGCTGTTTGCTTCTGTTACAGATACCCCCTGGTCCATGCGCAACCATGTCCTGCAGCCTCGGTTCCAGATGTTTACAGAGTCGGTCTGGGAAAGCTGTATGTGTAAAAGGTAACTGATTTCCAATATGCTTTCCATATGGTGTCTAGGGTCTATTTTAAGTTTTTGGAAAGATGAGATTGTTCAATAATTTAATTATGACAAGGAATAGTGAATACATCATATGAGATAAAGTATGTATAAAGAATACTAAACGATGTCCAGTGTAATACCATATTTATGAAACTTGTGAATGGTATTTGTATCTAACTCGCTTTCGAAAGGAATGAATGGGTTTGTATCTAACGAGCGAAAGCTCGTTAGATACAAATACCATTCACGAGTTTCATAAATATGGTATTACACTGGACATTGTTTAGTATTTAATTTATTACTCACCCGACATTAGCAAAATAATATCGAGCAAAGTAATTGTTTCCTAAGAATTCAATGAGTGCGATGACTCTCAGCTTTCCGTGAGTCAAACAAGGTGTACTACAATTGTGAGAGAGGTATAAGCATTGTGACGTCATAACTATAAACCAGTTTTACGTCATACGTACGGCACCACGTGATGTTATTACACAATGTGTAATAACATTGTTAAATTGTTAAACAGTGATATCTTCAACGGGTGAGTAATAAGTTGATTCCTACTTTCTAGGATAATTATTGATAACGTTTGTAAACATTTTTCGGATATGGCTGTGACAGTCCTAGTTTAAAGGATAACTTTGGCAGCCATTCCTTAAAACGAATACTCCCGATTAATAACCAGTCCCGTTATGTCATGAAACCATGTGTCATGCGGATCCCTCCATAATGTTTGATATACAGTACTTCAAACAGAGTAAACTAGGGGTACGTTCTGAGTCTCCAAAGAAATATCCCTGTCGAATTTTAGTCTATCATGAAACCTTAAGAGAAACGCAACTTGAATATCAATGTTTACAAATCAAATCAGGCAATTTAAGAACGTGTTTTACTGAAAGTCGAGGATGAGAAATTATGGTCTTAGTACAGGCAATTGTACAAAAACAAACTGACAAAAACACCCAAACAATATGTCCTTAAAGCCTACACTTGCAAAAAACACAGTTAGTACCTCGAAGCTGCAATTATGTTAAAGTCAGACATAACATAACGTTTACAGATGAGGAGAAGCTCCATCATTCGAATTCCCAAAAACGCAAAGATCACAAGCCTGGAGACAATCTACTCCATGAAGCCAGCAGGGACGGCGACCTTTGCCGAGTGCAACAGATCATGACTGATAGTCACGTTGATATCAACAGCAGAGAGAAGGAACATGGAATGACCCCGGCAATGTTGGCGGCTCATGGGGGACACAAGGATGTGTTTGACTTTCTTGTTAGGAACGGATGTAATTTGTCGGTTGTTGATAGCACAGGTAATAACATTCTTCAAATGGCCTGCTTCGGAGGACATGTTGGAATAGTGAAATACATCGTGTCACTTGCCATAGTGGACATGAACAGTATAGGACATTATGGGAGAACACCAATGATGACAGCATCATTCCAAGGGAATCGCAAGGTCTTTAAGTTCCTTCTTGAAGAGGGAGCTAAGTCGACATTGAGGGATGAGGCCGGTGACAACATCCTTGAAATCGCCTGTAGAGGTGGACATACAGAGATGGCCAAATATATCATCTCACTGAACATTGTGGAAGGCCACAGCAGAGGATATCATGGAAGATCCAGATTGATGACGGCAGCGTGGATGGGGAACAGGGAATTGTTTGAGACATGCATATGTGCAGGAGGTACCGTGTCGGAAACTGATGCTGATGGAAGCAACATTTTACATCTGGCCTGTTGTGGAGGAGATGTGGACATAGTGAAGTACATCCTCTCCCACAACATAACGGACGTCAACAGTAGAGGGACAGGTCAAAGGACACCAGCGATGATGGCAGCTGCTTGTGGAAGCAGACACGCGTTCGAGTTGATTGTTAGCGAAGGAGGTGATGTGTCAAAAGTTGATGTTCATCTTAACAATATCCTACATGTGGCCTGTTTGCAAAGCCAATTTGAGATGGTGAAGTATATTACCTCACAGAACATTACAGATATCAACAGTAGAGGAGACACCGGGAGGACACCACTAATGATGGCAGCAGGCAAGAGTCATAAAGGTGTGTTTGACTTTCTCGTGCGTAAAGGTGCTGATACTTCACTTTACGATTCAAATGGCGATAACATCCTGTTTTTGGCCTGCACAGAAGGACAGGTGGGAATAGTAGATTACATCCTCTCACGCAACATAACTGACGTCAACAGTAGAAGGGCAAATTGCATGACACCAATAATGGCGGCAGTAAGTTGGGGACAAATAAAAGTGTTTGCCTTCCTTGTGAGTATGGGAGGTGACGTGACAATGCTTGATCGTAATGGTAACAACATCCTGCACATCGCCTGTTATCATGGAGAGATAGAGATGGTAAGGTACATCCTTTCTAGCGAGTTTGTGGATATTAACACCGAGAACAAGAACGGCAACACAGCAGCAACGATAGCCACACGTAGAGGTCATGGTAACGTGTATACCCTCCTAAGTCGACACGGGCAAAGCGGAATGTGATAATTGGTAGCCAATTACCTTGTTGTATGTCTTTGTGATAGTCTAACAATGCAATCTTGTTGACGTCGCTTCATCAATGGCACCTGTTTAAAAAAACTGTTTTCTAATCTGCCCTATCAGAACACAATTGTTACAAATCAAAATCACTCTGTCAACTTGTAACACACTGAAATCCTGGCTTTCAACATCAGTAATTGGCGCAAGAGAAAACTTCTCGAGTAAATCAACATGAGAAGATGAGTGCCGAGGTCAACAAGGACCTGAAGAAGGGGCTAGATCTAGCCAAGAAACGTTGTAAGAAATAAAGTAGTTGTTATCCATAGGATTTGTCTTGTATTACATGGGGAATGCTACACATATCTAAACAACTCAAATGTTACATGGAGTTAACGTGTTACACAAACTCCCAACAACTTATATGTTACATGGAGTTAACGTGTTACACAAACTCCAAACAACTTAATGCTACATGTAGTTTACGTGTTACACAAACTCCCAAGAACTTATGTTACGTAGTACGTATTGCAGATTGATACATATGCTTCACTATATAAATGAATAATTTGAAAGTTATCCCTGCCCTAATATCATAGGGTGACACTAGGGTACATGTGAATTAGAAAAAAACTCCTCCACAAGTATATCCAGATTAATACTTTTGTGAGTGAGTGAGTGAGTCGGTGAGTGAGTGATGCGTCGCAATATTCCAGCAATATCACGTAAGTCCGGATTATTACAAGCAGGTACACGGTGATCACCTCATCTCACCTCCGACCCGTGAACGCATTCACTCACTCACTCACTCAGCTCACCTCCTACTGATACTGATCAACTTAATCCTGTTCGACGGTCGTCATTCTCTCAGACATAAACTTAATTTCAATGATCCACCTCCAAGTGATGGGGTTTTTTTCCCAAATGATGTTGTACGCATTGCTTACGCTATGAGACCACAATCTCCGAGTGACCATGCTCAGATCTGAGATAATGAGTGATGAGCTCATCACGATTTACAGGCAAGCACGTTTTAGGCGAGCCTGTTGTAAGGGGTAGCATAGCGATTCATCTAGTAGTGATCAACTTGTAATCAGTTTATATTATAAAAAAATAACACCCGGACTGCCATCAATGATATTCTCAATACATTGATACACCTTTGTCAGTGAGCAGATTTCATATGACTATGGCATTTTGGTGGAAACCGAGAGGGTTAGATGGGTGTGTGCTTGCGATTAGGTGCCTCACGTTGGGAGTGTGGGTTCTTAACCTGAATAATACTCAACCTGGAAAGGTATTATCATTTGTACTGTACTAAGGAAGTGATGAGTGAGTTTAGTTTTTACGCCACATTTAGCAATATTCGAGCAATGCCACGGCGGGGATACCAGAAATGGGCGTCAATCATTTTACCCATGTGGGGAATCGAACCCGGGTCTTCGGCGTGACGAGCGAACGCTTTAACCACTAGACGTACCCACAGCCCCACTAAGGACGTGTAATCACATCTACAACAATGACGACCCGGCTGTCTACAGCGATACATACAGAGAGATTACTACAAGGCTGTCTGTCAGATACCATTTATCTTACGAGTTGTTGCAAAACGTTTTGAAAGTACGAGTTGTAAGATAAATGGTATCCCAGGCTACAATTACAATAATCTGTTTCTTACACCTAAAATCTCACCACTTTTTGGATCAAATCGATGTATGTTGGCCCTTTCTCTGGTTGTAGTGGCGCATTGATACATAACAAAAACGTCATGAATAAGTGACGTCACTCGGCAGACTACTTACTACACATACATTGCGTAACCCGTACAACAAAAGCGTATTGGTCATTTTGTGCATTTTTAAGGCAACAGCGATGATGCAGACAAGATAATTCAAAGAAATTTATTCAACACTCCAAAAACATGACTTTGCAACTGTTAATGGTTCTCTCTCAAGTGAAACTAACTTCACAGTGAGACGTCATTATTATCGTTCCGAACATGGCTAGCGGACGTTCATTCAATTTGAATACAGTCGTCATCGGAGGTAAGAAGTTTGATTTCTTCGCATGGGGGACTTACGCTTCCGTAAAGCTAAGGTTGAATAGAACTCAGTTTGCTGGTTGCCTTTTTGAACCAGGGAATTAGCTAGATGGTTCCTTGATGTTAGTGGCAATATAGAAGAAGTATGTGGACTGGAGTATCCTGCAGTAAAGAGGCTCGAGTACTGCTTGTACATGGATACTGGACAATGCTCATATACATCATCAGTCGCCAATGCTTTGGGGTGCATGTTACGGATACCAAAGGATTATCCCTTTGGTATGTTTTCGACTTTGCCTCTCTGTGAATTCAAGAAATTCTCTACCGTCTGAGTCAGGTTTACGTGCAGCATGCCCCATTTAATGTCAGTGTGTGGTTTGACACTACGCATCCAAATATGAGAGGTGTTATTCCACCACATGGTGTTCAAAAAGGATTTGGGGTCGTGAGGACCAATTTTTTTGTTTCATAGAGTTTGTTAATGTCATCGTCAGTGAGCGATTCAGCCGGGCGATGTAGGTTACCCATTCCTTCACTCTTTAGAACGTTTTGTTTTGTTTTGATGACAGTTTTTAACTTTTCAAATTCACGATCATCGATAAGTAATGAAAAGTAGTGCTTTGACTTAAGGTACCTGTCAAAACTGGACAACATCCCACGAACCGTAGATGGTTCAGAATCGCTACCATCTTCCTTTCATAGGCTAATAAAAAATGTCCACAAAATATCACAAAGTTTAATTGAATGGACACGATAGGACGTGTATCAACTTTTGCAATCATGAACCCATGCAAAAGCCTCATGTGGCACATCTTTTTACGTTGTGTGTTTCGGTTCTGATTGTCTTGAACGAATTTGCCAATTTGCAAAGGTCATATAGCTGTTGAGGGTTTAGGGATCGACCCGCATCGTTACAATCACCAGGTTCATCGGTAAAATTTCATTCTTCATCAGTTCATCTAAGAAGTCAGTTGGTAAATCGATCTCACCACAAACATATCTGCATTCGATTGAAGCATGAGAAAGTTATCAATGAATTTCAATCAGGAAAGTAGTCCCTAGGTCATCACAATGGAGTAACCAATCACGGGATTAGAAATCGATCTCACACATATGTTTGATAACAGTTTTCTCCCCTGGGTTTCTCACCAACGGGTATGTAATAAAATCAATAATCTCCTTGTGATTAACAATAATAAACATGCTATTATCAAGGGCAATTTTTTTATGCATACTTTTGCATATCAACGATAGCAATGAAGGAGACCTAGAATGAGCAGCATCGTATCCCGATGGCTGCTCATACTATCAGCCACTGGTTTGGTCCTGAGTGGCTTGGATATTGCGGTGTTAAACAGAATACATATAATCAAAGTTTAACCGATAATCAGATCAGGTATAATAAACTACATATTAAAGATGTAAAAACTGTTTTTTTTTAAAAATGCCCAATGCGTGACTAACATTGCAGTCTTGCTTCAATAGCCAGTACCGTGGGTCTCAGGTGAAAATACATTAAACTCAGATGAACTGAGGATCGACATCCAGTATTTAAAACAAAGAATTGGTTTGCTCAGACACATGTGTATTAAAGATAAGAAATATGCCCCACATGGGTGTACTTATTCACCCATGTGAATTAATTTTACAATAGCGTACTTGTATTAATTTTTTATCTGTGATACTTTAGTATTTTTACTGTCCGTTCATGAAAAAAAGCTGAGACATTCCGCGAAGAAGACCGATTGTATAGTTAACATCAACAGCTGTAAAACAAGCAGAGAAATAGTAACGATGATGCTTTTGGGAAGACTATTAATTTAAGAAAGATATTCTACGTATTTTCACGGCAGAAGAATACAGAGAATGTCTATACAAAGATGTTTAAGTCAAAGCTCTACATACACGTCTGCGAGGGATTTTAAGATTTAACTGACTTGCAGCATAATATACGACAAGCTGAAACATCCACATTGGTCTCAGCGGTCAATAAATCACTTGCTCAGCTTCATAGAGAAAACGTTTCATGGATATATGTTCATTTGAGACTCCGACATATCCCATATTCTGTGGTGCCTTTCATTTCAACAAAGGACTTCATCATTTCAACTGGGAGGTATGCGCGTTCTTCGTGGTAACCAAGCTCGAGTGGCAGGAGTTTCCAAGAAATACCGTCAAGATATGCGCAGGGAGACTATTTTTTTATCGAAAGGCATTCAAGAGATTTTACAGAGAGATAAATATCCTTTTTTTTAAATGTTCAAATATTGCATGATGTTTTATATGCTTGAGGTCTGACTCATGGTGGGCCAAAGTAGATTTGGTACCGTCTCTTGAAAGAAATCACCAACGGCACGATGTGGTCTGGCGATGTCGTCCACGAAGACTTTGTGTCCTGGCCCCGATTTCTCGAAACAAACTTAAAATTTTACTCAAATTTCAGACTGAGTTTTCAGTTCTTGGTGATCTTTAGCCCGTTTTCATTTTGTACTGTCCAAAGTTATTTAATTTTACAATAACGTACTTGTAAAATTATCTGTGATACTCTAGTATTTTTACTCTCCGTCGATGACAGGTTTTTACGTTTTAAATTGATTTAATTTGATATTGATATAAATTAAATTGTTATTGTCTCGATATGGCGGAAATATTGCCTATGTGACGTTAAATATTAACTCACTAACTCACCAAACTGAGTTTGACAATTTGAAACAGTTTAAATTATAAGTCAGCTGCAGTTTTAAAATAAAAATTTCCAAACAACTTGATTATTCTATTCTCCAAATTCAAATTGTCTAACTATGTTTGAGTTTAATATCGATTTTATTTCATTCTGGCAAATGCCGAGTGAAAACTCTAACTTGATTCAAAACTCCACTTAAGTTTGTTTCGAGAATTGGGGCCTGTTCTTGTTGATC